CTAAACATTTATGTTTTCATGTTATAATTTGCTGTCACTCTAGAACAAAAAAAAAGGTCATAATTTATATCTACTTCCAATTTTTATGGTGGTTATGAGATCAGTCAAGTCTACTGAATAATTCACAGTGAAAATAACAGTATAAAATTATAAAGTTTTTTTCTTAAGAAACACTTGATAACTATCTACACATTATAAAGATTTTGCATGTGAAATTTGAACATTTTTTGATGCATAAAAGTATTTTAATCATAAAATGAAAATTACTTTGTATGTTAGATAGGCAACATGGCGAAAAGAAAAAAAAAAAGCCGTAAGAAAAACAGTGCTTAACAAACCTTAAGACTTTATTATTGAATAAATGTTTTGAGTAATTGCTTTAAACATGATCCCTGTCACACCAAACATGCTCGCCCTTTCAGCCGTGGGGGCATTATAATGTGACGGTCAATCCCACTATTCATTGGTAAAAGAGTAGCCCAAGAGTTGGCGGTGGGTGGTGATGACTAGCTGCCTTCCCTCTAGTCTTACACTGCTAAATTAGGGAAGGCTAGCGCAGATAGCCCTCGTGTAGCTTTGCGCAAAATTCAAAACAAACAATCTTTAAACCTGTATAAGCTGTAACTTTTATATTGGGCACTCACAAATATTAATAGATAATGTAGGTTCTAGGTATATTAAGCCTATTAATTCTTTCAGCATGGGCTTGGTCCCTGGGACTGACATCGTAACCACTTTGTGCTTGTTATAGTTTTCATGCTATAACTTAAATTACTTGGTGTATGTAAATGAAATTTAGCAGATTATCAGTAAACATTACAATGCTTTCATAAGAAAAATACCAAACTTTTTTGGCAGCTGCTTTAGGAATCTAACATGAAAAGTAGTATCTTAATGACAATTGCATGTTAATTTACTTCTGTGTATATAAATTTACATTTTAGGGCATTCTGTAAACTAACAGTTTTTTCTCTGTCAGTGAAATTTCATTTTATCAACAAGGACATTTTCAAACTTTTTTTTGTACAAAATCAATCAATTTAAAAACAAATATTTGGTCAAGTGTTTGGTGTTTGAAATATGAGTATTTTTACCACATTTGAAAATTAATAAACTTAAAACTGGTTATAACCTTTTAAACACCATGCCCAAAGAATTTCATGTTGTATTCTAGCTATATTAGTATCGTAGATGTTGTACCTTACCTTTCTACAACCATGTTTTTAGGAATACAGAGTGAATAAAAACACAAGTAAAATAATACACTTTCAAACAGCCACAAATACTATGCATTCATACAGAAAATCTTGGATGAGTGAGATTTATAAAGAAAAAAAAAGACTAGAGAACAGTATCATGTGGGAACAAGTTGAGTGACATACATAAAAAACAGAGTATATCTACCTTGCACGTTTGGCATAAAGAACAGCACTATGAGGGTTTTTCAATATGGCTTCCGTGAGCAGCTTTATAGCATCTTCATACTTTCCTATAGATAAAAAAAAAAGAAGAGCTATTAAATATTAACCGTAAAACATTTCATTTCATATTCGTTTTGGCCTTGAATTTTGGCACCAGTCAAGTAACACTATCAACAATTCCTTAGTTGATCAGTACTTCTTAATATTACAATATTTTTTCAGACGTCCCAGAAAACTCTGATAAGAAAGCAGAAGGAAGTCAGAAAGGGTAAAATACACCTATCTATTGTATACTACATTTTATAGCATTTCAACACAGAAGTTATACCTTTAAGTCACAAATACCTACAGATACTATGCAGTATTAGCCAAAAAAAGTATGAAAAGTTGAGAAGCACAAGGCATCAGACTAGCAACGAATGCATCAATATACTGGTAAAAGAAAAAAAATGCATGTACATGTAAGTACATGAAAAAATCACACTAGTAAAATAATAATTCCACAAAATTCCTAAGTAATAATTAGATACACTTCACAGTTGTCTGAAATTATTTTTTAATACACTGTGCAGTGGTAAGAAAGGAAAACTATCAACTAGTCAATGATGATAAATCGTAAACCTTTAAAAATAAGTTTTGATAAAGCACTTGTCAATCTGAGAAGCATTTGTTACATTATAAACACTAACGTCAATCCAACAGGAAACAATGGAATTTCTTGTAACTAAATGTCACAAAATCAGAAATTTTAATGTTTATCTATAAGAAAGTAAATACTATTTTTTTTAGAATATTAAGTAGTTTCTGAAGTAAAAGATTGAGACCTGAATGAAACACAGAATAGAATGATACCAGTGATTACAATGTCTTAAAACAAAAATAACAAACATTATTCTACAATGTCATAAAACAAAAATAACAAACATTCCTCTACAATGTCTCAAAACAAAAATAACAAACATTATTCTACAATGTCTAAAACAAAAATAACAAACATTCCTCTACAATGTCTTAAAACAAAAATAACAAACATTCCTCTACAATGTCTTAAAACAAAATTAACAAACATTCCTCTACAATGTCTTAAAACAAAAATAACAAACATTTCTCTACAATGTCTCAAAACAAAAATAACAAACATTTCTCAACAATGTCTGAAAACAAAAATAACAAACATTCCTCTACAATGTCTTAAAACAAAAATAACAAACATTCCTCTACAATGTTGTAAAACAAAAACAACAAACATTATTCTACAATGTCTTAAAATAGAATTAACAAACATTCCTCTACATTAACTCTGCATTAAAAGAAAAAACTAAAGGTTAACGGTAAATGAATTCACACCAACCTTCACTATAAGCTTCCATTGCCTGACCTCGCTTTTCATTACTTTCGTCCATCATCTCTTCAGTTACCTACAAGAAAAAAAAAATTATCCGCCTAATTGATTACTATACAAGTAATAACAAAAGCTATGTATAAGGCTCATAGAAAACACTAGCAGTATATCCAAATTATCTATTGTTAAGTTATAAAACACTGTTATTGTATGACTTCTCAACTTATGTAAGTAACAGGTGTAACAAGTTTGTTATTTTATATATTTATTTTAATATCAACATTTTTTAGATTAAGTTTAGATTTAAAAACATGCATAGCTTGTAGTGTTAGATATGTACTGAGAAACCCCTCCCTATTCCCCAGAGTTGTAGAAGATTATCGAGAGTAAGAATCAACAATATATGTTTATACATAAATGCTTAAATGTAACTCGGTATTCTTACGTAAAACTGAAATTTCTAAACGCCTCCACACGCCTATAAATATAACCAATGCGACGCGAAAAAGGGAGTATCTATTATTAGTTTGCTATAGTCAGTGTTATAAACTTTGGAAGCTATAACTGTGATTGTTATAACAGTCATCAATCAGAAAACTTCATATATTTGACAAGGAACCTTCTCAGAGTTCGAACATTACAAATCATTTAACTTCAATGGATTCTTATTGGATATTAAGATTTTTATGAAAACATCACCTAACGTCATCGGTGGAAACTCAATCTCTAATAGGTATATGAACAATGAAGGCTACAGGGCTAGCTAGCTACCTGTTAAGCGAATCATACCTACATCAACTCGTAATTAACTCGCTCATCATGAACCCCCGATAAGATATCAAGGAAGTTCCAGACTAGAAAGAAGACTTAATATTGTTTGTAAGTTTGTCATACTTTTGTTTATAAATCATTGTGTGTAATAATTATTTGTAATAATT